CATCAAGGAAATGAGAGCGACTGCTAGTGTTGCAGAATCAGTTCAAGACTATGCAGAAAAAGCGTGCTTTAGGCTCAGCCGAATGCCAACCAAAGTGACGATGGAGGTAGAAGGGACGCTGGAAACAGATATATCATTTAGCATATGGCGGTTAGCTGAAATGGATAACTTCAAACACATGGGCTTAACTTCTACCGACAACAGCAGCTGCAGCACGGAGCTGAACAGAGGAATTATTCTAGAAGCGGCAGCATTTTAGGCCTTGTAAAAATTTAATGTAAGTGAAACATCACTTTGATAACAAAAGTCGAATTCTTCGCGTCTTTGGTCTTACCTAATTTTCTGCATGGCTTAGAAACGCTGGTCATATTGAAACCGTAAATTCTACCTAAATGCCTCCCAACAGAAATATCTGTTTTAAGGACTTGTGGCATCATCGAGTAACGAGCAGAAGGGTACTGTCTGCGTCTAAGTTACGAAACATCACATTCATGTTGCAGGGCCGACGAAGCGCGTTATTTGACGTAACAATGGACTGAGGCATAAGTTCTTTGGCTCATCAGATTCTGCTTCGAAACTGAACGGAGGAAACCGCCCCATGGATGTCGAACCGAACGTGAAAAGACATCCTGCAGGTAGATCTAAAGTTTTATAACAGTATTTCCTTCAGAGAGTCAGAATAAAGTGCTTAAAATAATTAGAATATGCTTTGTATCCTGCGGGCATCATAGACTTGAGCAGCATGACCGTTGGCGTTAAACCAAAGTTACGATGAAACGACTGTTATTCAGTACCTTGTTAAAAAGCACCGGCTATTCGTAGGTGGAAGAATTCTTCTTCCAGCGCACACCTCAACCTCGTTCATTCCTGTTGCATGCTGGCCTCCTGATCGACATCTGCCGCATTTGGTTTTTAATAAAAGAAGTTCAGAGGAAGGGTGGCGCTAAATAATCTTTCCTGTCAGGATAGTTACTAATGATTTCGCACTACATCATATGCTGAAGTTTGTTTCCACAATGAATTGAAAATCCTATCATTTACTAAGTCTTAAAACCGGATGGGCCAATGCCTTGGTGCAAAATGTAGTAGAAAATAAGAATAATCTGTCTGCTATTTTTGAAACGTGATGCCTATTGTGAGACGAGCTGTACCTCTAATTGGTGCATGAAATTTTGCATAGGAGGCAGAGAGATCAATCTACAGGCTGAAATCTTTCAAAAAAAGTCATCGCAAGACAATGGATATTTTACGAATGTGATGCGTAGATCATTACCCTACTAAACTGTTGCTAGTGCTCTGGTTCTATGAGTAAGTTAAGAATCACCACTCCTGTATAATAGGGTATGTCTTCAGTCAGTGGAAGAAGTAACGCGTTGCCGAGAGTAAACACAAGACGAATCTTGATCATACAATGCGAGATGTAATGCGGCATCACGGCGAGTCGATGCTGTGAACACTGCAAACGTCAGAAATATCCTTCAGGCGCAGTGCAGTTCTTTGAAAGCCAGTTCTCCTATTGCCCTCACCTGCAAGGTAGCAACTATCTGACTAGAGATCTAGAGGTCTTAAGCGTACGGAAGAATTTGTGCTGTTGCATTGTAAAAAGCAGGATATCAGTGCCAGAACGGCGCCACGGATACCAGCAAGATACCAAAGCTATGCGTTGTGCTTATAAACTTTTGTCTGATAGCACATCAGTGTATCTAACACTTTTCGGTTGGCTGCGTTAAAAGTGGCAATGCCAAGTGGCAGTACCTACATCTTGGAAGCACCTAGTATGAATATGCGATAAATTGCGGACCTCTCTGTCGAAATCGTCAGCACCTTCCGCCACGGAACATGAAAGCAAGCTACCTCAAGTTCGCAAGCTTGAGTTAAACTCAGCTCTGAGTCTAACGCTGTTACTTCGCAAGTGTGTACTGCGAGACGGGAAAAGCAGTGTTTGAATCAGCGCATGACAGTGCATTTCTTTCTATCCCATAATGTCTGTTCCGCCAGCAACGCATATTACGGTCACGGAGTAATCAACTGATCAGTGACTCTAAGTGATTCTCAGGCACGGCAACTCTAAGCAACCGATCGCATTGTGCAAATCCCCTGCCTTAGAGCAAGGATGAAATACCCGTGAGATCACCTAATCACCTGCCGCTTCGGACGTGAGTAACTGCCTTATTTTCACGACGTGTCGCAGCAGCATCATAACAGTTGCTCAGTCGATGTCCGTGTGCTAACGTCAGTCACTTTCGATTACCGCTGATCCTTTCAGGTCACGGAGGCAGACGTGTAAGACGGTGTTTTCGATGTTGCTGATCCTGTATCAAAGTTGGAACACGTGCTGTAGTGCGAATAATTATTTTCAGTCTATACTGTAGGATTCGCCGGATCGAATTAACTTTTAAATAAATCCTGATAATGGCCATTGAGATATCAGCAGCACTGTTTTTCGAGATCTTTGCAGAAGTGTGCGAAAGTAGTGCAGCTTTCCTGCTTAGGGCCCAAGAGTAACTGAACAAGTGAACCTCTGTAGTTTAACATAGGTGTTGTCTTCGAGAAAGTTTTCGTTGTTTCATTCGGTCTTCTAATCACTGTATCTTGATGATGTTTAGGTCGAGGTAAACCTTCTATGCTTCAGTTAGCTAATTATGGCCTTTCGTTGGGACAGTACCAAATTTGGATTGTACATGGCGACTTACTAATGAAGGAGTATACTGGGTCACAGTTTGTTCTCAATTTACACTAAAAGAAAGTTTGTATCCGTTGCAATGCCGTTCTTCCTTAAACTTTCATTCTTCGTTTCAAGAAGTAAAGAAGAATTAAGAAGTTGATAGTAGCGCAGATCTCCGTCTACATATAATCAGCCAGGAATGTTGTTCATAGTCACCACCAGCCATGTGACTTGCATAGTTTATAGTTTTCTGTTTCCTCCCCATAGAGTGGTACTCATTTATGAACCTCGGAAAGAAGAAAGGCGAGTGTCCTAGATCGAGGCTCGAACCTGGAGCCTCTCTGTTCGGAGCTGGGCGCTCTATTGACTGAGCAACACTGGTCTGAAAGAACGTGTGATAAATTCCTTGCTCAATGGTATTCGTTGTTAAGACAAAAATTGTCGTCAACTGGAATCGAACCGACTCCTCCGGAGTTCGGAGCCGACCTCGTGTGTGCGTACCGTGCCACCACGCCACACAGTAGTCAGCACAACTCTGCACAGTCGACTTTATGCCTAAAAATTTTGAGGTCCATCATTCTGTGCCCCGAAATGAACTAATAATGCATTGCATCAGCGCATTTTCCTGCCTTTCTCCACCGATGATGGTATGGAATGAATTACAACTAAGCTTCAGTAAAAATGAGGAAAGGAATGTGGCGTTGGTAAGAAAAATCAGTTGAAATGTGTCCAAAACCCGAACATATGATCATTTTTTTCCACTTGTGCTGTCAATTAATTGTCGTAATCTTTCTGTGCACTTCTTTCATAAGCACAACATACTGTTCTGGTACCAACTTTTTTCGTGCTCCATCACGTTGTATCCCTTGTCATTCTTTGGTGGCCTTTCTCAGCTCTACGAGGAACATATGAATGCTCCCTGCTTCTTTCAGAGGTCATCTAAAAATGATTGTGGTG